AAAAAAACTTTTACCCAAAAAGACAGAGCTGCATCTCTCTCCTCTGTGTCAGTTCTCGCTGCCAGTCTGACAGGGAGGGCCGCGGCCTAGTCCTGCTCAGTGCAACAGCTGTGTTGGCATTTCCTGTCCGGGTTCATGAAGGCAGAGTAGTTTGGGAAAAGGAGGCCTTGAGGGCTGACTTCCTTAGTTAATGTTTTCTTTTCAGCAGTGTTTTGTTGTCCAGTCGGCGTCACCCGCAAACTCATTTTCATTGCGGGTGACGAAAGTAGCTCTTATTTAAACACTAGGGCCCTTTGGAATGGGTCGCTCAGCTCGACGTGCTAGAGGCAGGGCATGGCACAGTCCTGGTGAGCCTGTGTCAAAGCATGAGGCCCGCAGTCAGGAACGGTGTCTGAGGAAAGGCAAGGTGTAACCATGGTAACGTCACGGACAAACTACAAAGGTGCTCTGTAGAGTTACCACAGTAAAGGTAGCTGAAGGGTAAAGGTACGATTACACAATGCATATAGTGCAGGTAGAGACTCCCAAACCCTGCTTCATTCCACTACTGCAAAACCTTTCTTTTAGTCTGCATGCATCTTGGGTCAGTGCCCACCGACTGTGGCGCCCCCTGGAGGTTGGTTGCAAGAACAGCTGTTCCACTGGGGGTGTGCTGTGCAGATGAGCAGACTGGGTTCGGCTCTTGCACAGCCCCATTCGCACCCTCAGGCGTCCCTTGCTGTACTGATTCAGTCGGCTGGCGCATTTATCCACGCCAGTTTGGTTTCCTTTTTTTAATTTAAGCTCTCAGCCGTCGCCCCGGACTCAATAAAAAACCAAAAAAGACACCATGTGACTTTTCCCTTTGTGGGCAGAGTGAAGATATTCCAGCAAAAGCTGGACCACAGCTTGGAAGAAAGATCAACCCTGGATTCTGGACCCGAAGGTCTTGGGTCAAAGCCCTGCTGCTGTAGCCCAGAGCACTCAGAGCACTCCAAGAGCCCTGCTGTTCAGACAGGCAAACTAAATAAGAACAGAACAATCAACTTTCCAGGCAGTCATTGTAAATGAGAGCGTGTTCTTGCTCTACTCGTGTGGTTCAATGAGGAATTAAACCAGCTGAAAACATTCTACAACGGATTCCTGCCGCCCATTTCCTTCTAAGCAGAGCCGCTGTCCAAAGCAGAGCTTCTTCCCATGCAAACGGTCTGATCCTGTCCAGCCCCTGACTTGTGCAAAGCAGTAATCAGCTTGTTAACGATCCGCCTCGTCTTAGCCAGGAGTCAATCAGGCCGCTGCATGCCGGGGGGGGTGTGAGTGACAGGGGGAGCTGGGCTCTGCTCGGAGGCCCTGCGCTGATCACAGCAGACATGCCGTCACGCAGGGGAAAGCTGTCCTGTTTTATCAACAACAGATAACGCCATGCTGCGCGATAAAGGCGAATAATCACCCTCCCCTTCCAGTCAGAGCCAAGGCAGAGCTTGTTAGCCTAAAATAAAACATGCAAAGTATCTAGCAAGGCCATCAAACCATAATAGGACTCCAGTCCCATCCAGGGCCTGCTTATCCAGCAGGAATACCAAGAAGGACTGAATGAAGTAAGGGAGATCCCCGGAGCTCGGGGGCTGCGTTTGTCCTTGTTGGGAATCAGCGAAGGTGGAGCCACAGGAGGTCCATTCCCCATGAGCTACACCGGGCCTTTGCTGGCTAAACCCCGCCACCTGCAGGCCTGCGGGGCATGACCGACACCCCTAACCATTGCATGTTAGAACCCCTAACCTGAACCCTAAATCCACAGGAGCCGTGGATCGGCTTCATCAGATCCACCTGCTGGGCACAAATAACGACCGCTGCCCGACACCACGTCTCCTCCGCACTGAAATGAACGCAGAGTCATCCAGCTACTGTCCAGCCCGCAGCATGAGCTCGACAGTAGCACCTGTTTCTCTGGAAACGTCCCTCATTCCTGCATATCAGCACCAGGGGGGGAGTGGATGCAGAATGAAGCCATAAGTGAGCACAGAAACAGAGTCATGAATGATTTGCAGCATAATTCATTCACGATGTTTGGCAGCTATTAGCTACCCGCACTGCAGCTCCAAATTGTTTGTGAGCCAGAAACGCTGGGGACGTGTACAGTGCTGTTGTGTAAATGCGTCTTCCTCACGGGTATGTCTCCCCCTGCTGGTTAGTTGCTGTGCACGTTTTCGGCTGTTGTTGGCAGTTGATCAAAAATACAATGAAAATGTGAACCAGACAACAATCCAGTTAAAATCACTCTATTGGCCATATAGAATTTCTTGTATTGGGAATTTGTCTTTTCGAAGACCCCAGCTTGCTCTCCATGAGACACACAGACAGAGAAGCTGGGGGTCAGAGCGCAGGGTCAGCCACTTATACAGCACCCCTGGAGCAGTTGGGGTTAAGGGCCTTGCTCAGGGGCCCAGTAGGATTCCTCTGCTGGCCGCGGGGATACGAACTGGCAACCCTCCAGCCACAGGCGCAGATCGGAGCCACAGCTCCGCCGTCAGTCCCACCTCAGGAAGATAATCATTTTCTTTAGAAGATCAGGGGATTAAGAGACAATCTTCTGCTCCGATCTTCTGGAGATAGGGAGGCACACACATGTCAAAGAACACTGTCATTTTCTTGTTTAGAAAAAATATGTTGGGAATCTGTCCATTTTAAGGTGGGGAACCAATCGATTTACTTGTTCCAGTATTAATCTCACCCCCTCCCCAGGCTGCCCTTAAACAAACCCTGGAGACCCAGGAGAGCTCGTTCTAAATCTGGCCAGGGGATGCCATGCTGACCAGGCTAACGAGATCTAGCACCTGAGAGCTCGGTGGAGCAGGTGAGAACCAGCAGGTGAGAATCTCTGACCTGTTCATTCGAGGTGGGAGGAATCCCTAATGCACCAGCAGGTACACTGGAAGGCCAGGACATTCGGACACCCCACGCGCACACACACACACACGCACACACGCACACACGCACACAGAGCTCTTTCTGTGGCACCACGTCTGACTGGCTGGAGGATAGTCCCGAGACAGGCATCCATCTCCCAGCTGGCCAGAACAAGTCCCGGATCTCCACCCTTGTGGACAGGTGGTGAAACACACGGATCCATCCCATGGATCATTAGACCTCAACACTCCCTCGACAGGCGATCCTGCTACCAATGTCAGCGCCCACCACAGTCTCACAGAACAACCTGGGGGATAGACAGACATTGTACACCTTGTACTCTCAGTGTCACGGACAAACCTTCACGTTGCATTGTATTCAATAGAGGGTGGTGCAGTGTTTAGCATTGCATTGCACAGCGCTGGAGCCTGGGGTCTGTATGTTCTCCCCGGGCTCGTGTGGGTTTCCTCCCACAGTCCAAAGGCGTACTGGCAGGTCAACTGGCTTCTGGGAAAGCTGGCCCTGGTGCGAGTGTGTGCGTGTGTTTGTGACTGTCTGCCCTGGCGTCCTGCACCATTGCTTGCCTATTGCCCCACGCTGTGCACCACTGTGCCCACTGCTAGCCCAGACAGGCCCGGGCTCCCCCATGACTCTGAACTGGAAGCAGCAGTTAGAAAATGGATGGATGGATTCAGAAGGAAATATTAAAGGGTGAGTTAAGTGTGTTATCAAAATTCCTTAAGTCAGACAGCTGTTCCCTGACTGAATAAAGTTTAAGAGGATTTCTGTTCTCTAATTCATTCATTCATCTTGCTGGCAATGCTGCAAAAACTTCTAATTCTGCAATCTAATTTCTGCAATTTCCCTCACGGGATCAATAAAGTATCTATCTAATTATCTAATTATCGTTTAGTCATTGGTCACGTACTTCCTCTGATGTGCTGTGTACTGCAGCTCCTGTGGGTCACACAGGTGGGGAGCAGCACTTCAGTGGCACTAGAGTGGGTCTCCACCTGTTGGAAGAGTGGTGTAGAAATGCAATGAAGTATTACTGTTTCTATTCTCTCAACCCATGTAACGAACGAGTCTCTTGATAGTTTACAAAGAGGAGTTATCATGACACCTTGTGGCTAAACCCTCATACTGCAGCCCACATACCGACTAGATCAGCAGC